ACATTAAATTACCGCAGCCTTTGGAGGATTTTGCGGACAATCATGTTGTGCTACGTAACTTATTTTAAATAAGAAGTAGTAGTCAGTTTTTTAACAAGTTTAATTTGTTAAATGTAAATAGAAAAGTTAGAGTTTATCCCTCAAGGAAAAACTTGTCTGATATTTCTATCTATGTTACCATTCAAGACATTCATGTGGAGACTTTGCAAGAAAAACCTTCTTTTTCAGTCACCAGCAGACGGTAAGTAAGGGTAAGTAAGGTCTCAATTTAGACTAGTAAGATTTTTGAACAGTTTTATTTGGTGGTGTAGGTGGGGATCTTTTTTCGTATTCACCGTTTTTACGGAGACTATAATGCACCTTGTTTACCCCCCAAAATTTTGCATAACCCTTGTCTTCCATTTCTCTTGGGATGACTGTAATACCCGAGAGAAATTTGATACAGTGGTTAAGCAAAATTTTAGAGGTAAATCCTGAGGTAAACAATGTGTATTATAGTCTAAGTAAAAATGGTACATACGAAAGCAAATCTTGATCTCTCCATTTAAACCACCAAATAAAACTTATCAAATATCTTAATAGTTTATGTTCATAAATCGAGACCTTTCATACCTTTACTTACCTTCTGCTTGTGACTTAAGTGATAGGTTTTTCTTGAAAAGTCTTAGCAGGAATGTTTTGTTTGGTAACATAGATAGAAAAATCGGACAAGTTTTTCCTTGAGGGATAAACACTCTAACTTTTCCCCCTAAAGAGTGGGGGGCCGAGCCCACACCCCACTCTCCCCCTTCCCGGGAGGGGAGTGGGGGAGGGGGGTTTGGGCGGGAGCCCACACCCCACTCTCCCCCTTCCCGGGAGGGGAGTGGGGGAGGGGGGTTTGGGCGGGAGCCCACACCCCACTCTCCCCCTTCCCGGGAGGGGAGTGGGGGAGGGGGGTTTGGGCGGGAGCCCACACCCCACTCTCCCCCTTCCCGGGAGGGGAGTGGGGGGGTTTAAGGGAGCCCACACCCCACCTCCCCTTCCCGGGAGGGGAGGGGGGGGGGTTTGGGAGCCCACACCCCACTCTCCCCCTTCCCGGGAGGGGAGTGGGGGAGGGGGGTTTGGGCGGGAGCCCACACCCCACTCTCCCCCTTCCCGGGAGGGGAGTGGGGGAGGGGGGTTTGGGCGGGAGCCCACACCCCACTCTCCCCCTTCCCGGGAGGGGAGTGGGGGAGGGGGGTTTGGGCGGGAGCCCACACCCCACTCTCCCCCTTCCCGGGAGGGGAGTGGGGGAGGGGGGTTTGGGCGGGAGCCCACACCCCACTGCCGGGTAATTTATTCATATATTCATAAATTTTTTACTCGAAAGAGCGCCGCAGTGCTGTATTGTTGTACTCAAAAGAGCGCCGCACTGTAGATTACCAACTACATTTCAATTTTTACTCAAAAGAGCGCCGCACTGCCGTGTTCTTGAAAATGGAATGTTATATAGCCCGTTACTCAAAAGAGCGCCGCAGTACCGTGTTTTAGAAAATGGGGCAAGTTTTCGATGAGGCATATATCTCACAATTCTGGGGATACAGTATTTTGTGAGTTTGAAGGTTGACAGCATTTGATTTCAAAGGCGTTAGTCTATTTTACTTCGTGACGGATAGAAAACGTTCATTTGTGGTAGAAACTAGATAAATAGTTTATTGAATAAATATTTATGAAACCCATAGTCAGAATTGTGTATTGATAAGTAATATTAATTACAAAATATATGAACTAAAAATTATTACAACTTGTTAATAACACAGAAAATACATTAAAGTAAACCAGTTTTCTTTCTAATAATTTAATTGCTTTTTATCTTCTTTACATATATATTTTCATTATTATCCCGAAGCTGCTATTCACGCACGCTAACTCCTTTCCCCACTTCTCTCCCGGGGAGGGGAGAGTGGGTGTGGTCTACCCCTTTTCTCTTCCGTTTAGTCACCAGTAGGCGGGGTAGGGAAGAGCTCAATTTCCAAACAAAATTAAGAGTACACAAGTATTACATGGCGGTGTAGATGGAGAAGAAGACCAATTTTTTATATATATTCACCACTTTTACTTAGATGATAATGAACCTTGTATATCCCCATAGCTTTGCATAACCATTGATTCCAATTTCTCCGCGGTCCCAAAAGAAATCAAAGACAATGTAAATGCAAAATTTAGGGGCGGAAATAAAGTGTATATGGTCTACGTGAAAATGGTGAATTTGAAAAGAGGTCTCTCCTCTAAAGGTTTTAACCTTCAGAGAATATCACGTGATCTACAATGGGTAGTTAACCACCGAGCATATTAATTCAATAACGTATAACTGACATTACTGTATCTTTTTAAGGAATATTAATTTTGCAATGGCTTTGAAGACATTTGCTGCTTTAGTGTTCCTGTATAAATGCTGTAATTATTGGATTATCAGGGTTTGACTTTCAACTTTCTTTCTGCTTTAGGCCAAGCATATAGTGGATAGCGAGTTAAGGGCTCGTTGTGCACTTAAGCGCTCTTAATTTGCATTAATGGTGTGATTTTCAAATTATAGTCCCTTTTAGTCTTCCACTTGCCCTTGAAATATCTCAAAGGTGACTATCTAAAAATACCATTAGCAAAAGAGGGAAGTTGTTCAACTTGGCAGGGTTGTGGGTTACAAAATGAAATGCAGCTTCAGTAAACTTATCTAGGCTTACTTCCTTCAAGCAGCGAGTATGTTTTTCCTTGAAAAGGCAAATAACTTGCCAAGTTCTGCTATTTACATGAAGAAATTATGACGGAGCTGCAAATGAGGCACAACTTTGAGAAGAGGATCCTATCAGCCCCTTTAACTAGAACAAGTTTTTAATGGCAACTTTTCCTTGGTGGTGTAAATAGCCATTGACAGTTTTTTCAAAAAACTAAGTTCTCCAATTTACACGAGCAAGTCTTTCAAGGAAACGTTGCCTCTGTATTCCTAGAGATTTTGTGTCCTGCTATAGGAAGTGTTATTTTATTCAATGAGCTGCACTCCGCAAATGTTTAATGACAATACACAGAAAAACCTGATTCAGAGAAAGCAGTGCAAAAGAACAAGAACAATTAAATGATCACTGGACCTGTGAGACTACGAATAACTTGAGCTAAGCCTCACTTTTTGGGTTTCTAATTAGACGTGTGGATGTGAATGGCCGATGCCAGGCTCATTTCCCGTTATCTATAATTGTCAAGGTAACACGTGGGAATGAGGTAGTGGGTATACAAAAACATATAGTATATATTATTAGCTACAAGCTACCTTGGGTGCTGAGGCAAAAAATACTACCATTTGGAACTCTCCCTCTCTTTTTTTCATTGGGCCGAGCTCTTTGTCCGCCTTATTCCAGCGCATTTCTTGCATGTAAGTATAACAGTTTCATACCAGTGGACTGGCCAAAATCTGTTATGCGCAATACCATTGATCCTTTAAAAGAAAGGGGGTAGATTTCCAAATGATAGTATTTTTTTGGCCTCAGCACCCAAGGCAGCATGTAGCTAATAATATATATATGTTATAATAAAGGCGAAGTTCCCGTTATTAAATTTGTAATTTACATCAAACAATAAACTTGTAACCTTTGCAAAGGAATCTGCATAGAGTTGAGCCATGTGATTTTGGTCAGCAGATACCCTGTTTTGAAAGCTGTCAAATGGCCACAACCCTTGCCTCCCTGCAGCATGGTGATTTTGATTCACACAACTGTCTGACGACCTTCAAAAGGCCCATTGTACCATATGACTAGCTAGCCTCGAGTATTCAGAAAAGCACAAAACAATATTAAAATACCAACAGACCATGGCTACCTCTACACATGAAAAGATGGGTTTTGAAATTCAGATTGGGGACATAATTATCTCCCCCTCACCCCTGTGAGCAAAAATGGAAATTCAATTCGAGAGGGCCTCATTTCTTTAAAAGGATAATCTATTTTAAAAATGACTAACGCGGAAAACCCAAACAAATGGCAGACAAACTGAGAAAGTAGAAATACCATCATTGTCATTTGGTCAGTCATATAGCACCAGTGGCTGAAAGATTTTGTTTACCTTTACTACTACAGTGGAACCTCGATATAATGAACAACTATATAAGGAAGTCCTTGGTATAACGAACAATTTGTTTTGCCCCAGTAATAGTAAAATATATGAAAAAGGACCTCGTTACAGTGAACACATTTTGCCATTCCCTTGGCCCTTCATTAAGTTGAGGTTCCACTGTATAGCAGATTAAATTAAGACAACTTCAATAATTCAACTGAAAACAACCCAATCTATTGTAATAATATTGTAATTTGTTTCCCACGGAGCACTTAGGAGTTCATAAGAACTCGGTGAAACATAACCATGCGTTCTAGATCGATTTGGAATTTGGAAGTGTTGGTTTTTAAGGAGAGGGGAAAACTGGAGTACCCGTAGAGAAACCTCTCAGAGCAAGGAAGAGAACCAACAACAAATTTCCACTATTTAAACCACTTTTTAGGCTATCCTCTTTACTTGCCTGGCTCTTCCTAGGGCTTTTCATGCATGTAATAGAGAAGCCTGTTTGTCCTATACCCTCTTTTACCACAACATATTTCTCAAATTCATAGTTACAAGCTGGCTTAGGTCATAGCCACTACTAGGTATCCCTCAAAAGAATGGAATTGTGAAGGCAACGTATATCTTTAAATTCTAATTTGAAGTGCTACTATGATGGAAAATCAATTCTCTTTTCTTTTAACATTATTTTTACTTTCCAAATTTCTTAAACAAGTTCTTATTATTTTTACCATGATTTCTTGGTTTGACGGTGCATCCATAATAATGTAATAATCCTTTGTTCCAGTTGGGTGGCAACAAGAGAAATTGATTTAGGGTAACAGTGATGTCATTTCATCAACAAATTAAAACTGACATGACAATATTGAATCATTGTTCATACAAATCTTGACCCACAAATTTTCAACGACTTTTCAAGGACAAATTACAGTTTTCAATGACTAAGACTTATTCGATAAATCAGCATTTTTATCCCCTTTTTGAACTATGGAGTCATTTACCATTTTCACTTCTTCAGCCATACCACTTTCGGTGACAACACTTTGCAACGACTGGGTATGACTTGAAGTTGCATCTGAGGTACAGAAATAACATTTGAAATAAGGAAACAGAAATAAAAATTATATTGTTTATGCACAAAAATGTTGTAACAATAGAGTACTAAAGTGATGACGTCATAAAAATGAAATTTTTGAAATTATAGGATTTGTCAGGATATTCTGAAAGAACAATGTCCAAGAGGCCTACTTGCCAAAAATGAGCATTTCGGGGCAAATATTGTCTCTGAGATGTTAGCCGGCTATACTCAGAAAACTCCATACAAACCCTTCTAATTGATTTTTGGGTCGACCCAAAAATAATTTAGAAGGGTTTGTATGGAGTTTTCTAAGCGTAACTGGGCTACGATCTCAGAGACAATTTGCTCCGAAATGCTCATTTTTGGCAAGTAGGCTCTCTTGTTCTTTCAGAATATCCCGACAAATCCCATAATTTCAGAAATTTCATCTTTATGACGTCACACTTTAGTACTCTATTAGATTACCCGTGAGTTTTACAGGTTCTTACACCAAGGACGAGCCAAATTTTCCTCTGTGAGATAATCTAATTTCACAGGAAACAGTGTGGAGTAGACAAGGTATTGAATTTCAAGGACTTTTGAAGACCCAATAAAGGAATCCAGTACTTTTCAAAGCCCTTTAGCAAATTCAATAACTTTTTACTTCAAGACCTTTTCAAGATTGTACAAAGCTGCTGTATGAATGCTGCCAACTGCACAGGGTTTGAGAATTTCTGGAAATTCAACTGACATCATTTTCATTCTTGATCAGTCCAACTCTTACAATAAAATAAATTTCAGTAAATTGATGTGGACAGGCAAACCACATGATCATTGTCAAAATAACCAGCCTCTCTTTGTAACAACAACCTGAAATGGTTATTAAATATTTCCCATATATACCTGCAGAGAAAAGAGAATTGACTCTGATCGTGATGGCACTGTCAGTACTAAATATATTCTTTGCTTTGTTATAAAATTAGTATGAAGCCAAGACAACTTCTGAACAGGTCCTTGAATGCAGCTTCCTTTATTATGACATTGCACTACCAGTGGGCAGCCACAGTCTGTAGTCACAAACTTCCTTACTCTGTTGGATCTATGGTGCTGGGGAAAAATTAACAACTATTCAGTCTACACTCAAACTGACATTGTTGTTGATTAATTTATCAAAAGACACTTCCATGGTCTTATTTTAAATAACAACAGTTAATAAAAATCCTGGAAATAACACCCTTACCCTGATTTTCGTTCCATAAGGAACAATGCATATTTTCCTCTCTAGACCCATTTAGCTTTCAGTTTAAGCTACACGTAACAAGATGGTAAAAAACGTCAGCAACGATAGATCTTTCCACTATACCTTGGCCTCGGTCTGGATATTCTGACCAATCCTGATAAACTTCCATTGTGTAGTTCCAGAAATTATCGATAACCAGTTCCTAGCCCATTGTGCACTGATTATGAAAATATATAGAAAATAGTTGAATAGTTCATGGCATGTGTATTGCAATTACCAGTATTATTTTTTGTTCATTTCATTTTCACTTTATTTTAATTTGTAGCTTTGCATTTACTTTTAGTAATATTCATGTTGCATTAAAATGAAGAACTATAATTGAAAAAAAAAAAACACAAGAAAAATGAAAGGAAAGAGAGAGGAAAAGGGGAAGAAAAGGGTGATAGCGCCACTCCAGCGAGGGGAGAACTCTAGTCTACAAAGCTATGTCCTAAGGGCTTCACTAGTGAATGTGGCTACTGGAACTGCACTAATGCGTAGAAACTCTACACGCAGGCATATTTATATCGTGCTGAAAACAAACTGCTCGCACCATGTTATAAGCGATACAACTAGACAACTACAGTATAGCTACATGTAGGTAAGCCACACAACGGTGAATCCTTCCTGTTGGCAATACACCTGTTTGTAAAACAGTATTATCGCTTTACCACAGAATACATATGTATCCTGTTATCACAACAGGAGGAAACAAATAGAGTGCTTTGCGGATAACTACATGTACAGCCAATGGCAACAAATTAAAGCAAGATAAAATCAATTACACTGTAATTTCTTTCCCGTTTAAGGGTGTAACAGTGGAGAAAGCACAGAGCTACAGCTGGCTAACCAGAAAGCAGAACCTAAAAAGAAATGCATACCATGAAAAAACAATAAATCGAACTGCAAAAATAGTAGTGAAAAGAAAAAATGCTGTGTGAGCCAGAACAAGAATTTCATTTGTCATTGAAAAGTGGAATGGACTCATTGTGGAATAGCACTTTGCAATATTACTTGAAATAGGTTTTGTCACCTTAGATATATGTTATTGAAACCAAGTTGAATTTTGCTTCTTTTAACAATAAAAATCTTCAAAGGCAACGAAAAATTGTTGGCGAATGTGACTTCCCCATACAAAACTCTTATACTGATCAGGTTGGTTCAATGTTGGTGCATGGACCAGAAATTGTGACATCATTAGTGCAAAGTGCAATTACTTGTACACAAGATTGGAATGTTGTTCAGTATCTTGTAAACAAAACTAATATGGACTCATTCCACAATGGAAGTCTTTCCGTTATCATGAAAATAGCTCCATACACAGTAACTCACCTTTTTGATCCATTTCACCAAATTCACATTGCACTTCCCTCTGAAATAAAATGAATTATTGTATTACTACACCACAACAGGATTAGCTCAGTCAGTAAGAGTGCTTGACTGCAGAGCGGGAGGTCGCAGGTTTGATTCCTGGGACCAGACCAACACTCAGAGTCTTTACATGACTGAGAAATGAAGGTACTGCCTTTACCCTGCAAATAGCTTCACGCCGCTCTGATGACCATGTAAAATGGCCATCCATCTCCAGCAGGAGACACAAAAGTAGTGTCCCCAATAATTATTATCACTTTCATGCTAAATACATTGACACTCAAATAAAGTGCTTTTTTTCACTAAAATAAACCACCTTTAAAGAAAAGGTAATTTCCAATTGGAATGAGCTTAAGACTAACCTCCCACCAACCTCTAAAAGAAGGTGGACTCGATTTTGACTCTCATGACTGAGAAATCTTCCCAGAGTCCTATAGAATATCACGCAATTCATACACTGGGAATGAACCCAGGGGCGGATCCAGGATTTTTCTTAGGAGGGGGTGCACCACTAACTGACCGATGACGTAAAAAATTTTAAGAGCGAATACGAAGAAGAGGGCTTTTGACTAGGAAATAACATAATGTGAACTGCTGAGAATACATATCAAACGATAGAGCAGATTTTATGTCTGTCAAGCAACTGCACAGTGTTAATTAGAAAGCGGCCGCAGGTTATCCCAGGGGGGGGGGGGGGTGCGCACCCCCTGCACCCTCCCCCTGGATCCACCCCTGGAACCCAAAGGCCAAAATTAGTTGAATACCATCAAAACAGTGTGCTATAGACTTCCCTTTGTAAGGAAAGTTAATCTTGACTGTTTGAGCCTATGAATACACAGGAGAAATTTTTGTTTGCGATGAAAAGTTGCAAACATGTCAGTAACACATTTTAGTTTCAAATAGTATTAAAAAGTACTTAGGAAAACAAAACAAACAAACATTAATAACACAATCCCTTTTTTTAATGTACCCTTTTCAGACCAAACATCAAATCAACTGCTACTCATGTCACTGAATCGTACATGTAGTCAACAGTTACTGGCACCGTACAAACAACTTATTGATACTCAAGTAAAACTAACTACAAGAGAATGGAATGACTGGACAACCGACAGTTTGATGAACAATACAAAATGAATGATATTGGGAACTTTTTTATAGGATGACAATGCAGTTTTGTAAGTTTAGGATTTTGTTGTTATTTTTATTATGTTAAGCGCTTTTGGACCATTGGGAATTAGCGCTCTATAAATATTGTATATTATTATTATTATTATATTAATTCGAGTCTTCATAGCCAATAACATCATGGCCTAACTGTTGACTGACAGACAACATTTAACATTGCCACTTAATTGACCAGTCAGGTCAATAACCAGAGTCAAAGTGAGTTGTATCATGTCAGTTGTAGTATTTTCTCTGAAAAAATTAATGACTACCACACAGGGTGCTGAAATGTCAGTCACTGTCAACAACAGTCCTTTTCAGGACTACAACAGCTGTATGTTCACCCTGCAGGCGATCATGCTCCACCTACTTATCAAATGACTCCTGGATTCAAACATTTTACAGTTTTATATCCAACTGCCACACCATCAAGCAGTTATTTAACGACAACCAAATCACTGGTCTGTGGTGTTACAATTGTGTGTTAATGGTCACTTGTCCTGCTATCACTTTTGCACTATTAATATCATGAAAATGAAGGCCCTGTTCATAGCTCGATCTCATCTAGTCGGGAGCTCACTGTTAAGTGAATTAATAAATTGGCCATGGGCAAAGACTAAGTTACATGTACCTCTGAAATTGAAGTATGATAGATCTTTTAACAAGGACTTATTCAACTTCTGTTGTTGCTTAGCACTGGTCCTCATAGGCATTTCAGTAGCCACACTAGATCACTTGTAATGACGGAATATAATACCTAATAAAAAGTATCTGAGTACTTAGCTTTGAAAATGATTTATACATGTGTTATTCCAAGCTTACCTTAAAGGGAACATCCCTTGTCATCAATGAACGTTACAAATTCTCTTACTTAAAAGTCACTGGTGAAACAAAAATGACACAAAACATGGATATCAACTTTGAACAAACATTGACTATTTTTCGCTATTATTTCTTCAAGCCTATGGCACTTTTGTGGTGCACATAATACTGAAAAGATGAATGCCCTTAACGAGAAAATTCTTAGATTTCTCTTACAAGATTATAGTTCTCCATAAGTACATGTATGTGATAGCCATTTTTAGTCTCCTCTGTTTTGTGTGGTGGCTGCCGCTCACAGGGTTGCCATGGATTTCCTACGTGTTTGGCTGTGCTACTTGTCTTGAAACTCCATCTTCTTCAGGCACCATTCCTGACGCTCATATCTGCTGTTGATGGGTTTAAATTACATTGTACAAGATCTTGTTTTTACCTGCTATCCAGGTCATCTAAGAAATAATTTTATGTTTATTCTGCAGTCTATATCATATAGTCTACAGGTCTGTTGAGCTACCCTCTCCTAAAACTACTACTTATGGACTTCACTTCTTTTTATTTTCTCTTTTCTTCTTTTTTTTATTTTAAGAGAATATTTTTTTGTAATTTTAGCGATCCCAACTTAGGGCCTCAATTCTTAAATGTGCAGAATATTGGTAAGGTCATGAGCCACCGTCTGCAGCAAAAACAAAACTACACTTTCAAATCTTCCATCAGTCATTTTTTTTGGATGGCAATACATTTCAGCACTCTAAAATAAAAGTGAGAAGAGCACTGAAAGTAATATTTTAATTATGAAACAGATACAATATAAAAATCTATAATTTAATTTTCTGAACTAGCCTGAGAAAGCAGCTGACATTTTGTGACACCACCACTGATATGTGACATGTCACTACCCGGATCTGGGTCATGCTTCTGATTGGTTGTACTGGGTGGTAAATTTACGGTAGTTTCGAAAACGAAGCACTCAAAAACGAAGACCGAAGCACGAAGCACCCAAAACTCGAAAACGAAGCACCTATCAAAAACGAAGCACTCAAAAACGAAGCACCCTAATCTCGAAAACGAAGCACCCAAAAACTTGAAAACCAAGACCCCAAAAACTCAAAAACGAAGACCCCTAAACTTGAAACCGCTCTGTCCTTTATAAATTGGCTAGAAAGTCTCTTGCTAATACAGCAGGAATCAAGCACGATAACAAATCGAATGCAGTTCAAATCTGCTCAAGTAGAACTGCGAGGTGTAGTAAATGCATTTCCACCGCTGCGTGGGAAGTTATGTTTTGGAAGTGATCAGAAAACCGAGAACGCCCAAACTAGTTCTAGAATGTTACTGTATGGCCAGGAAAAGCCAATCAGGCATCAGTCTAGCGAGACTAATAATAAAATTAATACAGGATATCCTATCTAGAAACGTTCAGTTCCTGGGGTTCTTTTAAACAGTTGGCAGGCTGTTATAAAACCTTGGGATGGAT